CATTTTACAAAATGTTAAATGAAGAATTAAAGTTGAAATGTTATGTAAAAAATTGTTTCAACAAAAATGGAGAAAAATGAAAATAAACAACCACCAATAATGAAAAAATGAAAATCATCCAAAAAAAAGTAAATTTTCTCATCATATTTTAAAATATGATTTCATTTTGTATTTTTCTTTCATCATTTTTTTAAAAAAAAGATTTTTTTGTATTTTCATGTTATTTTATTTTTCAAAAAAGAAACTTTTCATTTCTATTTTAACCCCTCATTTTTAGAGGAGAATATGCATATTTTTTTATTTCTTACACACACATACATATAAGTAGTAAATGTCACTAGAAATTAACTGAAAAAATCAATCCAAGATATTTTTCATATAAAAATTTTATTTAACAATATACCTATTTTATTAGTATAGTAAAAATTATTATAAGGCATATTAATTATGAAAGACCATTTAAGAATCTATTTTTTTTTAAAAAAAAAAAACTTTTCCATTTATATTTTTCTCATTTTTTAAAAAAGAAAAATCACTATTATCATTATATGCAAATTTTTATTTCTTATACATACATGCATATAAGTAGTAAATGTCATCAGTAAAACAAATCAAATGATTAATTAAAATGCACAACTTGTATGTTACTGGCAGAATCTGTATTACAGTTTATTTAAAGAATTTCAACAAAAACATAATCCTATAAAGTTAATTAAATTAGATCTTAAAAAAGAATTTGATAATATAAAAGAACGACATAATAATTTAGTTTTATTAATAAATAAACAATCCTTTACAGAAAATCCAAATTAGAAGAAATTGAATTTTTAAAAGAAACTATTTTAACCTAAGAACTCAAATTATAGAATTAGAATTTGAACCAATTTACAATACAATTTTTTGCAAATACCATCTGATGGAAAGGTCAAGGTTTGGATATAGATTTCAGTTCCATGGAAAACATGGATTTATTTTAATATAAATTTACTAATTTGTTGAATAATATTTTAATAAATAACTCAATTTTAAATTGTTTATCTGGAAGATTTGCTGAAAAAACTTGAAGTACTTTCTGGAGTGGCAGCAACAAATATTCTCAAAACATAACAGAGAGAAAAATATACTAAAATATACTATATGTATCACTGCTGATTAACATTATTATAATTGTTCATAAATAATGATAGGAACAATGCCTGAAAATCCTGGTATTTAGACCAATTTTCAGAGATTCACTTAATGAAGGCACTTCCTTTTGGAAAGACTGTTTGAATTTAAATGCAACAAAAAGGTTATAAACTCATGTATGTTGAGTACTCACAATTGTCCTGTACTAAATGAAAAGAGATGGATGATTTAAATAATACAGAACTTTTAGGATGGAAGATACATTTAAATGTCATTACAAAAGGCAAGAATGAAATACATAGTTACTATCATTTACAAAATTTTTGTGTACTATATCTAATTTTTATAAATAGGAGTCAGTTAAACAAAAATCCAAAGAAATTTTATCATTTTTAAAATCACACGATTTAATGGACAACTCATCTCCTAGCAACATATGGGAAGCTTTGAATCAAAGCTTCCACAAAACCTTTGGTTATAAGGATAAAAGCATCCAAAAATCCTCTACTAAAACCATTGATAATTATAACATTTAGCCAAGGTTCCAGTACACCCAGTAGGAGAATATGATTTAGCCTCTCCTTACCAGAGTAATATTTTTTAATTTTTGTTCTCTTGTTCTCAGTGGGAGGGCTGAGATTTTTTTTTTTATTTTGTGGTGTTAAAGGAGAAAATTAGATAGTTAAGCAATTCACAAGATTTACTGTACCACAAAATGATTGACATATTGTAATATATATTTCTATTTCTTATATTTCTTATAATGTTTATATTTATTTTATTATATTTATTTCTTTTATTTCTTTTTATAAGTATACCATGTATTTGTCTCAATATGAGATAGATTTGAGGGTAATTGTAATAGTTATTGATATACTTATAGCTAAATAAAAATACAATTTTAATCTACAATTAAAAACTGTCTTTTTGTATATAGGATTTCAAGTATCCCCTTGAAGCTATTCATAATTCACTGCTCGATGGACTGAGCTGGTGAACAGTAGGAGGGCCAAAGGGCTTTTTTTTAAGTCTAAATTTTTCTTTGATAGGAGGTAATTTTTTTTCCAAAATTTGTAAAAACTTTGCTGATTTTACGAGTTTGTTATTTATACTGGCTATGAATATTCCTTTGGCTAAAAATCCAACATGACTCTGGTTTTTAGAATATCATTATTGTCAATATGTCTTTACTATACTATGTGTCCTTATCAAAATCATGTAGGCAAGTGGAAGGTAGTTCAACAATTCAATCTCTGTAAAGAAATTAATTTTTCTATGTATTTTAGCATAGGTTATGTGATATCTTGCAAATAAATATAAAATCGTTCAACATTGTACTGATATGTATAAATCTACTAGTAAAGATTTTACTGGATTTATTAAGCTTTGATTTTAATTAAAAAAATTTCTTACATTATCTCATTAATTATACAAATTTGGTTTTCTTTTTTTTTATTTAAATACGCGTACTTTGGGACATTACATTAAAAATTGATATTGGAGATAATTTATATTAAATAGTACTAAATTAAAAAAAATTATTTATTTTGATTGCCACTTCGTCTACCCAACACCACAAAAGTCTTCCTGATCATGAAAAAAAATGATGAAGATTTTTTTTAAAAAAATAAAAGCAAAAATAAAAATAAAGAAATAAAAATGTTTTCTCTTCTCAGTTTATGAACCACTATTTTAAAGAGAATCTTAGTCTAAAATAAAGCAAGAATGAAAAATGAAAAAATGAGAAAAAAGATGAAATTAAAGTAAAAACAAAAAAAAAACAACGAAATTAGGTGAACATCAGACGAAAAAAAGAACCAAAAAAACTGTTTCAAGTTCACTTTGATTGTTTCAAATCAACCGTACTAGCTTAAAATAAAATGAAGGTGGGAGAAAAAAGGCAAAAAATTAAAATAAAAATAAAAAATGACACCAACATAAGTAAACAAAAATAAAAGGACGAAAGACCAACAAAAAAAAAATTGTTTTAAACTTATCTGATCGTACCTATCTTTCGAACAAAAATCTTTGAACTGTAGCCTAAAATAAAGGCGAAAATTAAATAAGAAAACAAAAAAAAAGTATGTAATGAAAAAAAATGGAGAACAAACAAGATTTTTAAACACTTGATCGAATTTTTGAGCTGTAGCCTAAAATAAAATGCAAGTGGGAAATTGAAGGCGATAAAAAAAAGAAAGAAATTAATATAAGTAATTAAAAAACTCAAAAAAGGAAAGAAAGAACAAAAAAAAAAATTTTAAACTCACATGAACATTTCAAATCGACTCGTATCCTTCAGACTGAAATCTTTGAAATAGAACGAGAAAAAGGAGGCGAAAAATAAAAATAAGAAAAAAACAAAAAAAAAGAATAGAAATTTAAATTAATGTAAGTAGACGAAAATAAAAAGCATAAAGACAAAAAAAGTTTGTTAAATTTACCCCAGCCATAAACTGTCATTTCAAGCCATTCATTTCAAGCCAAACCATAATCAAAAACAGAAACGAACTCTTTGAACAAACCCTAGACTACAAAATTAAGAAGAGAATTCAATCCATTAGGTGTGCTTAAAAAAGTTGTTAATACATGAATATATTGACAACTAATATGGATGAACGCATTAAAAAAAGGCTTTTTTTATAGTAAAAATTCGATTTTACGCAAGAACTGTCTAAATAACTAACCGTTTAAGCTTAGTAAAACTTTTCTTCTCATAAAATTGCATATATTTCTGTTGTTAAAAATAATATTTTCATGCCTACTTTTAAAAAGATCTTAAAGTCTTGTTTTTTAAGAAGAATTTCTTGTATATGCAAGGAAAAAAAATAACTGCGAATAGGGAATTAAAACCGGTACATCACATGATAATCTATCAAATTACTTAATTAGTATGGGCGCAGTAAATTAAATCATCAAAATAAAGTAACTTGAACATACATGTTAGTTAGCAATTAGTAAAATGTTTTCTAATTGAACACTGGATAGTTTGACAGATTAACCAGCTGATTTGGCTTTTTTGTTAGTAAAATAATAAATCGTAAAATTTAATTAATCGGCCGGATAATTTGTCAGATTACGCTAAATTAAACTGGCTGATCTGTTTTTTATTAGTAAAAAAAAAATACTTTAAAATTTTATTTATAGAGAAAAATACAATTTATTTAATTTATTTAAAATTTAAGAAAAATGATTAAATCAGCTGAATGATTTGGTGGATTGCAACGATACAACGAGACTTGAGGTTTTGATGATTGATTATGATGAACTATAATAAACTGTAATATAATTATATAAATAGTAAATTCAGTGAAATCAGTGACCAAATCGTATAAATTTCATGGTAAAATCAGTGATCAAATCATGTAAATTCCATACGAATCCCGTGCAAATTCTGTATTTCTGTATTCAAACCATATTTAAGTGATGCGAATTGTGCATTTTTCCATATTCTTTCAACGGACTATTATGATACGTTATTTCTAAGAAAAGATAGTATAAAAACTTTATAAAAAACGTCCAATTTTTTTATAGAGTTGTATAACTTACTTCTGAAGTTAATGAGATACATAAACAAAATCTTATTCATTGTGATTTTTATTATGGCAATATTTTAAATCATAATGATAAGAATGAGGATTAGTGATTTAGGATTATTATGTCAAACTGTACTGTAAGAGCACATGATAGTTTAAGTATTTGTAAAGGTGAACGTCCTGAAATTATTGAAACACTCCATAATGTTATATAGATTTGATGAGGAATGAAGATCCATTAAAAGACCATCATCTAAAGAAGTTTTAGATATTATTAATTAAGAAATGGATTTACTTTTCTTTTAAAATGAGAATAAAAGATATTGATAAGAAATTAAAATGCAGTATTATGGAATTTATAAATGGCATAACAATTTTATTATTGAATTTCATTCACAAGCACATTATACAAGTCGTTTACTTGATTTTACTAGTAAAAAATTGAATGAAATTCTTGAAGATTTACCAGCTAGTATAAAAGTGAATGAAATGCTAGTAAGTGAAGATTTAAATAATTGTATAATTAAAGATTTGAAATCATTAGGTATATAATATAGTAGTATATAAAAAAACCAATCTTGCAAATTATTTATGTAAAATTAATTTTAATATTTTATTTATTTTTTGTTTAATTATTTAGATACTAAACAGATGAAAATTATAAACTAATTATTTGTATTTTTAAAAAAAGATTTATGATTTTTATATTTGATATCATGTATTACAAAGTATTTTCTTTTTAGATTTATTTAAATATTAAGGTTAGGACAGTAAAATATTTTACAATATTTTAATTTATATTTTAAATAAATCTATTTTTTTTATACTTCCATTTATTAAATATAAATTATCAAATAATACAAGTATATAAAAAGCCATTCCAATGTATAAATATATATACCTCTACCTAGCTCCACCACCTCCTGATAATGACCAATTTCTTGGTCTTTTCGAATAAAATAAGGATTTTTTCTAATTCTTTGCAATTTTTTTCCATAAAAAAAAAATTGTTTTTCTTAGCATTTGTCATTTTATTTTCAGTTTGTCTATTATATTACTGTATAACTCCCTTTATTTTAGAAATGTTGAAACAAATTATAATTATTGTTTTAAAAGAATATTGATAAAATTGGTAACTCTTATCATTGTATACGAAGATCTCTGATTCCGATGACTTAAACGATGGTTCTCCTTCATCGTCTAGAGAGCATTCCATAAAATACCATTTGGGAACATCAGTAACAATACTAAACATCCCTGGATGATCATTTTCTTTTCAATAGTACGAAACCGTATGCATTTTATTCGTTTTATGAGTAATAAATTTTATTTCCCTTCCTATTTTTATATTTTACTAATACTATTATATATGGTCTACGTTATAAGAAAATTCATTAACATGGTGTAGAAAGATCGATTTCAGTAAATATTTGGTTTAAAATAATGTGTTGCAGACAGTTTATAATTAGAAAGCTCAAATTATTCCAGCCAAAAAAAACGTGTAAATTAACAAACACATTTTAAGAGTAAATTTAAGAGGTAAGCTACTAAGAAAAAATTATATAAATTATTATCTCAGTATCATAGGAATAGTTACAAAACTACACAAGTTTCACACATATTATTGTTTTATTATTTACATAGATATTACCCAATAATAGTACACCGACAAATTGTAGTAAGTAATTTAGTTCAAATATACTGTACCTTACACTCTTGTTACCTTTGTTAATTATTGCTGATACCGCAATCAATATAGATGTAATTATCATCATAATTCTCATTGACAATGTATTCTCTTTTACTAACCATCTCGTCCACTTTATTCGTTTCTAAATCCATCAACCATTCTGTCACTTTCGAAATACTGTTTTTGATCTCATCTCTATTATTAATTATTTCACGCCCATTCATTTCAAATTCTGAGTTTATCGAAGGAATTTTACGTGACAGAATGTCGTTTCGTACTAGCTGATATGGTTCGCACAATCTGACAATTACTTCTCTACCATCCAATTCGATCAAACTCAAAATCCCATTCATTTCCGTATTTAATGCTTCCCCCTACAAATCATAATGAATGAATGAATAAATAATCTTTTTTCAATATTTTGATTTTTCTTTAATACATACCAGAAATCTTTCTTCATAAACCAAAACTTTACAATACATGCTAAAATATATAATAATAATTTCTTTCAATAGTAAATAATTTCCTTTAATTTGAAACATAGCAATCAATCTACGTTTTGTATAATTATCTTTCAATCTATCGATAAATCCTGCTTTTATTGCTGTATGAATGTCTCCAAACTTACGAACTGGTTGAATACCTGTATAATTTGGCATAGTTACTGGTTGAGCAATATTTATTTGTGGGTCTTATGTAGAATAATGTACCAACAATAGTAACGATAGCGCTAACGTTATTTTTGTTATTGACGGAAGTGTTATTGTAGTTTGGTGAATATTGTGAAGTATGAAGAATATTAACGTTCTTGGAGATATTTATATTCCCTTATATATTGTTTATATTGTGATTATTACGGTATCCCATTATGACTTAATCAGTATGCAAGTTATGTATGAAAATTTTATTTATAGAGATGATTATTTCGTAATTTCTTACTATGGAATAAATCATTATATCATGACTCAAAACAGATTACTAGATTTGGATACTGCGACTGTGCCACACTATAGTAAAATTAATTTAGTCAATAAAATACCCTACTAGAATTTCATAGTAAACGGTTTAGACTTGTTGTTATATGATGCAAATAACTTTATTTGACTGAATTTAGTTTATATCTCGTCCGTCACAAACACATATAAAGTTTTATAGAAACAAAGAATAGTTAAGTTTCAAAGAGATACGCAGCAATCGTTACTTTGATTATTAATCAAAGTATTGTATAAAAATTATAAGGGGTTATTGTCGGAATAATTTTCCCATTGGTCTCACTAGTATCAGAAAAGATAGTATCATATGATTAAGTTCAATTGTAGTGATCATGAGATATTGTGAATAAATATTAATCATTGGATCGAATTGTATATTACGTATTAGGATAGGATCAAATTTACGCTTTTATTATATAATGTATTATCGCACGATATACAACTTATAACTATCGTAACGGTTTTTTTACTATAAAAACTATAAAAGTAATTAAGTTTATAATTGTTATCTGCGGAGCCGTGATGATCGAGTTTGATCCGTGAAATAACCGGTTTATACTACGGAGACTAACGTTCTGTATACAATTTTTAACTACCGATAGACTTTTTGCTTATCCTTTTAAGTAAACCTCACCCGTTAATAAGGAAAATCACGGACGACTAAAAAGTGTTATAAATAAATCAGTTTTAGCACTTGATAATAAAAGCTAATACAGTTTTAAAGATTATAATAGTAAAATGCTTATTTATTTTATTTATTTATAATATTGAATATTTTGATCGTCTTTAAATAAAATTTTTATTAATATCTCAAATGAAAAACGAGAAATTATATACAAAATTTTACGATATTGGGCGGTTTTGTTGACTTTGTTCAGTCCCCCCTCCCAGTTTCAGAAAAATGGGACATATAATAGGTATTAAGTAAAGTAGTACTGTACGGTAATATAAATTCGGAAGGACTTTAATCCTTTTTGTTCGTACGTACGTTTCTAGCAGATTGATTTTTTTTATACTAGTACGTACGAATGCTTTAAAATTTCGTACGACTTTGAATTTTCGTACAATTTTGAATTTTCGTACATGTTTTGTTTTTCTAATAAAATACTTTATGTTAAAAAATATAAATATATTAATTATACTCTTTGAAGATGAACATGAGTTTATATATTTCTATTTCTTTAATAATATTCAGCTCTATAATAATAAAATTGACTCATAAAGTTATAATAATTATATAAACCTGTTCAAATTCAGAATTTACCAATTCAATTGGAAAGTCTTCAACATCGTAATATTCATATTTATAATTATTTTTCTTCTTCAAAGCAGTAAAGATTAAAAAGAGATATTTATGACAAATATATAACAAACAAAACGATTACAAATATATAAATTAATCAGATCAATTATGTTACTCAAATATCATGTAATTGTAACATTTTCATTATCAAAAGTTCTATCACATGATGCTACGATATAAAATTATTAGCACGGAAAATAAAAATTTATTTTTAATAGTCCGTCTGAGTACGGAAAAATTAAAAAAAATTTTTCGAACGACTGTCCAAATTTGTAGTACCGTACAGTACTATTTTACTATATATTCCATATAATTTAGGCCGGAATTATGAGAATTAACCGATCACATGATATGTATATTGCTATTTATAACTCTGGCCGAAATTATGATAATTTTGGTCATGTTCCTCTGGATTGTTAATTTGTTATCCCCTATGTTATGTTAAACAAAGAATTTGCTCGGAGAGGTCTTATCATACCAATTTGAATTATTACTGTATAACTTGTATTTAAATAATTTCACAAACTTTCATTCTGCATTTCAAAAGATTTATTCGTCAACTATATATGATTTCGCAAATTTATGTCGATCATTAGTAATCTTTTCTGATATCCGATTTTCATTCCTTAGGTGTGAACCCATTCAACACTAATATATTTTAATACATAATATTATCCCAAAGTTTCAAATAGTTTGTTTTTTAAAATAAATTTTCTCACATAATCTTTTACTTTTATTTGACGCCACGGTCGCCACGCGCCCACGCCAGATTCCCATTTTCTGCAGATCCTTTGCAGTTTGACTCGTGGATCACGAATTAATAAATCAAACTTACAAAAATTTTGTTAATAAATTAATACTAGACTCATAAATTTATTTTGATCATGTCTTTTCCAATTTTCATTTTCATTATTCAATAACTTATAGTCTAATGGGTCCATCAATCCAAATTAATTTTGCCCTATATACTGTCAAACCAGCCTTTTGTAATATATTCAATATCGTCAAATATGTCGTAAAGTATTACTCTTGATATAGAGTAATTCAATGAGATGGCTAATTCTTGGACAATTTTTAAAATTTTGTAATTTTGTTACAAATTTTGCTTATTTAATTACATTCTTCACATATCATTTTTATTTTTAATTAACTGATAAAGTAATTTAACCTTTCTTTATTTATGAGCTTTTAAAAATAATTATTACACTAAACAAATAATAAAACTGAAAAAGGCCAATATATATTTAAATGGAATATTACAAACTTTATTTCACGTGACGAATATCACGTTTTTTAGACTTTTCAAACGCGCGCGTAGCTAGTTGTTATACATTTTATAAATTTGATAACATGAATAATTATAGAATTAAGTAACTATAAAAATATTTTCAAATAAAATAAATAATAAATTTCTAAAATTATAAAATAATTTTTCTATTATCATAATACCTAATTTTTTAAATCACTCATTATTAACATGACTTAATTCTAGCTTTTTGCAAATATCATTACATTTATGATTTGCCAAGAACAATTGTTTGATCCCATTTTCACCGAAATTTGTTCCCCCAAATCTTAAAGGATCAATACAATGTATTGCTGGATCAGTTAATAAGAAATCATCATTAAGTTCAATCCCTTGAAGATCACAAACTACTAAATATCCTTTAGTGTATTCATATGTGAAGTGAACAAATGCTTCAAGAATAGGTCGAAGTTCCGTAATTACGCCGGTGTTTGCATTGAATCTTTTATACTCCGAATTTTGAAGTTTTGGTTCAATAGTATAATATTTAGTAAAACAAAAAGTATTATAACGTAAAAGTTTCACATTGAGAAAATTAACTTTGGGAATATTTTTTTGTTCTGCGATCGAATTAAATTGTGTGGAAAGGAAATATGCAACTGTAAAGATTTCTACTGCTTCAAGATACTTTTCAAGAGGATTGTTTCGCTTCCCAATATGAAGATATTCTTTTATTACCATATCTTTTGTCGGATCACTCTTAGCATCAAGAGCAAAATATGCGTATTTTTCAACACCTGAAGAAAATGGTTGTGAAGCAACCTTGTAGGAGAAATTTTTAGAAATGAGATTTGATTTGTCGAAGTACTTTGGATTTTTAAGTTCGTCCAGAGTTTTAGGAATATGATACCACATAACTATTCCTTTTTGTAATGAAAGAGTATTCCAATCGGGTACATTTGGATTCATAATAATTTTTTTTCGTTGCATTGAATTTATTTCATTGGAGCTGCTTACAATGGTACTAGTTAATGAAACAGCATAAGTGATAGATGATGAGGTGGCCTGAATAAATTTATTAATTAATACAAGTGGATCTCCTCCTACAAGATCAAATACTGGAAATTCCCCAATTATATCATGAAATATTTCAAGCATTTTATCAGTATGATTCGTAATTTTACCAAAAAAATAAAGAATATTATTTGATTGCATTCTTCCTAGTACGTCTTCTGCGGTTAAACCATATGGATCACCATTTGGATAATTATCCTTCAAGTATGAAAAACGTCGACCATGTGGTGGATAATCGCAAATATGAAGAAGAACTCTAGTACTATTTTGCCAATTCATTTGGGTTACTGCTGCATTAAGACCTCCAAGAACATCTTCCGCTAAATCGAGATTATAAATAGGAGTTACATTTTGCATATATTGTGTAAATTGCTCATACTGATCGGTGAAATCAAAAACTAGTAGACGATCAATTCCATTATCGTGGTCTCGATAGCCACAAAAACCAACTCGAAGTTTAATATTTGGATTTATATGTTTAACATAATTAGAAACCTGTAAAATACAATCTTTGGCAGCGCTAATATGAGACCCCATAGTTCCGGTGCAGTCCAAAACAAAACAAAGATCAACTTCCATTAAACGTTTGATGTCATTGAGTTTTTTGGATACAGCCTTCTCTCTTGCTTTAATTTTTAGTTCATTTACCGCCAATGTTTTATTAGAGGTGGATGACGAAATAGAGCTTTGAATGCTTGCATTATCTGAATTTTTTTTTAAACAGAACCACTTGGACTTGGACATAATTTTTGTCGTAAAAAAAAAAATTATTTTAAAAAATAGTTTATTTTTTCGAAAAAAATGATGGATTTATATACACACATTTGATTAAACAAAGAAATTCTTAGAATTTAAATTGGCGGCTTGGCATTTTTTCGGCTCGGCGCTTTTCTGAATTGACATAAATAAAGATTATAAAGTTTGAATGAAATCCCAAATAGCCATTAAGATCATAAAGATTAAATGAAATTCCAAATATAATGATTGAGTTTATAGAAATTTCCGAATTAATATAGATTAAATTTTCTAGTTATTCTTATTAGTACAGATTGAAGTAGTCTTAACAGTTAATTAATTGGTCATTATCATAATAAATAATTTTTGATTGACAAATTATGCAGAAGTGGTGCTACGACACACCCTTTTTGTTTTCGAAGATATTTAACGATAGCTGATAGATGTTTTATTTTAAGAATTTTGTTTAATGATTGGCGTATAGTAAAATGAACTTCCTAATAAGATTTGATTGAATTAATAAAAATAATGAAGATTGGCACAAAATTAGATCTATTTTTAATTGTATGACGTACAAGTTTTCAGCTATAATTAGAAAGAGAAGTTTTGGAATTCTATATTTACATTAAATCGACACAAAACTTTATCATAGTTCTGGCCAGTTGTACTGCCTGTGTGTCTAATTATTTTCCAAAAAGATTATCTATTATCTATTTTTTGTAAATGTACAGTAGAAAATTGACTTTCCGCTTACTTTATGTAATGAATTTATTAATATAATGACTATTTATTTTAAAAAAAGAAGGGTTGCGTCATTTAGGTAATGACCTTAATAAAGAATTCGATCACAACCATTGTACTACAAAAAATATTCGTAAGATTTTTAATTGAACCTTTCTAAAAATTAAAAAAAAAATGATTAGTTTATGGTAATATAAAAATTATTTATAGGTATATTATTATTTTGTTTTTATTATAAAAAAATATGTACCAACTTTGGATTTTTGGTATAGCCTCCATTCTCATCAATATATGTTTTAATATGCGTTTTTTTGTATTACCATACCATAGGAAGCTAAGACAAGCGTATCACAGGAAGTGTGATTTTAATGTAACTTTAATATAATCATCATGCACTGCACATACAAATTTTCATCCAAAATTTGGTGGTATAAATGATAATCTGATTGCACATCAATATAATGTCTATGATGTCATAGCGATAATTTTTTGTGTCAAAGAGAACCTTTCTGGAATGAATAGGCCTAAATCTTGGTTGCAGTACGTTTCACCGAAGTATATTTCGCCAAAACCCATTTCACCAAGGCCATTTCGCTTCGCTGAAGGGATATTTCGTCGAATGGGCGTTTTGTCGAATAAATATTTCGCCGAAACCTTTTCCCCTAATCGTTCATTTCGTCGAAGGACATTTCGCCGAAAATATTAGCGATTAACATAATTCCTTAATCAATATAAAGAAAATAAAAAATGTTTCGGAAAATTGATGATAAAATTAATTTTCCTTTACTGTAATGAAATATTCCTTGTATTTCAGATTTTTCTCTGTTTTCTTTAAAGTGTGTAGATCCATTTTGGAAGAAACATAATGATTATTTTCTTCATTATTTTTTTTTTTTTTTTTTTTTTTTTTTTTTTTTTTATTCGTTTATTTTTAAAATATATGTCGTTACCAATTTGGAAATAATGGCAGCTCTTAATCGGGAGCAACCATACTCATGAAATCATAGATATAGTAAAATGAGAATAAGAAAAAGAATGAACAAAAAATCCAATACATTTAGAAGCCACTAGATACAACATAAATTTTGTTGGATTCGTCCCAATTTTGGATCACGTGATGAATCAAGTGATCCAATTTTAAGGGTGCAAGTGGCGAAATTGGTTTTAATCAGATGATTATATAGGCTAGATAATTCTAAAGATAGTTTTCTCTTTATGTGTCGTGCTAATATTCAGATCCAAAAATTTCTAACCAATTCGACATCGCCAAACTTGTCAAATTATTATCGATTCTGCAGCACCTTCTCCAGATGATTTCCGAAAATTGAGCGTCTCATATGTTGCGGTTTAATATTAGTTCTAATAGTTCATAAATAGAGTATCTACATGTTTAACTGATGAAATATTTTTCCTTAATATATGTCATATCTATAGTATTTTCCTCGTCCGCATAATGTTTCGTTCTTTAGTAAGTTAAATCAGACGCAAGAGAAAAGTATTAGAACTTTTCTTTTTTTTAGACAGGGCCATTTATACATATTCATGAAATAATAATGACAAACGGAAATTTCTCACATAATAGTAATCAATTTTTAAGTTTGTATAAAACTTCTGATTTAATAAAATTATTTTAGCAAGACGCACTGAGACTGACGCATCTGCGTCACGTGATCAATGATCTAATGGCTACTCAATATTTTTCGACCATTGTGATAAAGTCTTTTCGAAAAGTGATATAAAGGTGATATCGATTTTAACGTGAATATAATCCCAAAAATTTTTATCTCTAATTATAGAACAATTATTTACAAAACAATATTAAAAATAAATTTTGCAACCTAAATTAACATGCACGACACGACGACACGTAATACCGAGCACTACCGAATTAAATTTTAGTACGTAAATATTTGTTATTTATATTAATTCGGAAAACTATTAATTCGGAAACTCATTTAAAGCATTTTTATGTATTAAATTAAATTTTGAGAAAATTTTTTTGTTTTATTTGGAATTTATTTTGGACGCAAATTTGTAAAAATTCTGCATAATGAAATTTTTATTATAATTCATACATTCAAATATAACTTTAAAAGCATTAAAGAGGTATGGAAAAGTTTTGCTTAAAGGTTATTACTCAATAACAAGAAAGAATTTATTCTAATTATGGTCACCCATCTTTCGACCGATATGTTTCTTCCACGTAAATTTCACCGGAAACCGGCTAATTTTCCCCTTGGCAACAACTCTTGTATGACTAAAAATAAAAATGTAATTTCAGTATAAAAGAATGTATAAATAAAACGAACCTTTAGATAAAATGGAAAATGGAACTTACTTGAAACAAAAAAAAAAAAAAAATAAGCCGATTTGTTTTAAAAAGGAAAAAATGCAAAAAAAATGCTAACGTATTTCGACAAAAATGGTATAGTTAAAATGCAAACGTATTTCTACAAAAATAGTATAGTTAATAAAAAAAAGTTTAAAAATAAGCCGATTTTTTTTTAAATATGAACGAATATCAAAAACTTTGACAAAAATATATTATTATCTGCTTATATAAAGAAAAACAAAAATAGAAATAAAATCCTTATAAATTGATTAAAATTTTTATAAGAAAAATTATGCTAACTCTTAAAAGTTACCCAATGGAAATTTCCTACGATGATAATCCTAAAAACATAAATGTCAATAACTTTCCAAACTTGATGTTATAGGCTATGAGAATTAATACTATTACCATCCTCGTCAAAGTACTTATTACGTGCTGATACTAATGATTATGTTGATGTGGCTGTGAAGTAAATAATTAGATAAAAGAAATGAGTTATTCTTAGTTGTTATTCAGCCCAATAGGATCATGCAGATTATCATAATATTTTTATTAGCCATAGCATAGCAATAACACATGATTGATATAATAAAGTGGAGTAAAAAATGGCGTAAATGAATATTTTGTAGGAAAAGTTTAAATAAAGCTTATAAAGTGGATTAAAAATGAAATTTATAGAAAGCTTATTTATGAATTATGATGCTATTAATTAATGCATGATCAAAAACGTCAGAACGATAACACACTTATTGGATGTGGGGCTATATCGGTCCTGTAACCGATATAGTATTTACCATTTTGAACAATATACTGTATATTTTTATTCTTTTTTTTAAAATAGAATTCATCTACTTCCATATTATTAATTTAAAGTGGCGCTGTTCATTCAGATTGCGGCACAATGTAAAAAAAACGTGGCAAATTACTCTCATACGTCAATAAAAAAATAATTTTACAGATAATTGCGGCTAAAAATAATTATTAATATCAAGGCTTCTCTTCAATTGTAACTTTTAACATGCCACAATGTCAAAAACGTACTCTTGGACGTCTTTACTTCGCCCTCATTAATGACGTAATTTTACAAATGATCGGTTAAAAATAATTATTAACATCATTTCCTCATATTTCTCTGCCTGTTCGACATTTTTAATTAAAAAAAAATAATTTTTTTTAATTTTTATTGAAAAAACGTTGGGTCCCGGCATTTTACTTTTGTTTTTATATATAAAAATGCCGAAACTGTTTGTTTTAGCATTTTTTTCAATCTTAGATGTAAAAATGCCGGAATCATTAGTTCTGGCATTTTTCTTTTTGATTTTACATGTAAAAATGCTGAAACTATTGGTTTTGGCATTTTTTTTTTTGATTTTACATGTAAAAACGCCGGAATCATTAGTCTTCAATTATAAATTTTAACATAGCTATGGCGCAATATAGAAAAACGTGGCAAAAATACCCTTGTACACCTCCTCTACTTTTGCCTTCATTGATTCATGAAATAATTTGAAATAGTGATTATAAAAAATTTTTTTATATAAACACTTTGAGAAAGAGATGAGAAAATTTCTTTTAAACAAATTAATAAACAACGAATTAAAAATTATATATATCACAATCACAAAATCAATAATGAAATTCAAATGCTTATTGCTAATTTTTGCCTTTACTATTATTTTAGCGGGTAAATAAATCATAACTTTAAAAGAAAATTTTCTTTTTTTATTCATATTAATATTAAGGGTTCTTTTAATGATAATTTAAATTCACAGATGCAGCACCGGGATCATTGAAACGTGACGCGGACGCAGAAGCCGCATTAGACGATTTCTTCTAGTAAATATGGTAAATGAAAGAAATGTAAGGTATTTTATATTATTCGTATGGAAACATTGAAGGATCGAAAATTTTATTGTATATACGTAAATAAATAAAAATCTAAAAAGTNTGTAAGGTATTTTATATTATTCGTATGGAAACATTGAAGGATCGAAAATTTTATTGTATATACGTAAATAAATAAAAATCTAAAAAGTTTATTGTGCAATTTTAAATTGAATCTTTGATGAGATATAAAAAAAATTAAGAATGAATAAAGTGTGAAAATTATCGTCAAGAAGTAAATAACTCTTGTATTAACAAATCCATTTCTACGATAAAAATATCAATAATTACATCATATTTTGAATATTGTAATACAGTATTTTCTATACCTAAATATTTATCGCAGCTGGCGCTTCACATGTT